TGAGAGTCTTTCAAGTGAGGTAGGATTCCTGTACCCCATTTTGGCTTTGGTCTCTGAACCTCAGCAGTATCTGATTTGGTGCCCAGATGTTTATCAGAGTCTATGAGGCTGGAGTAAAATTGAGTGATCCTGTCTTTTGTTCTGGCCCTGTTCTTTCTCAGATGAAGGCCATCGATCTAGAGAAAAGCTTACTTATGATGGGTGTTTTTTGCTTATTTCTAATAAAAATATTTCCTTATATCTTTTTAAAGAAAAAAACTATTCTAATTAGCAGCTTTGATGTTTGAGCGTATTCATTAATCTTTAAGTATAGTCTTAAAAATACATTGAGCTATGAAGATGAAATCATGATTATCCTTAGGTAGAGCCCCCCCCAAATTTGCAAGAAAGCAGAATCTTCAACTTTATGAACTGGAAAGATGCACTTCCTGTTCTAAAACCAAGGAACTTGGTAACACCACCCATTTCCTGAGGCTGATTTGAGACTACATTTGTTACTATCTCATCTTGGCTCAAATTCTAAAAGGCCAAGAAATGTATAACCCCAAATTCTAAGACCAAAGTCTTAACTGCTGGGTTTGCTGATCCCCTGATTCTTCCTTCCCATTTGGATGTAGGAAATAAGAAAATGTATGGCTGCCCACAGGACAAGTAGCAAATGAGCACAATTGATGAGATTGCATTACATCATCATGCATATAACATGGCCATTTTCTCAGCTTAGTGAACCACCAGCCAAGGTGAGCCTTAATTCTTTCCTCAAACTTGGAAGAAGCTGGTGTGAGAGTCTTGGAGCAGGACCCGGGAGAACTAAATTCAGTCCAGGAAACTGTTCTGACCCAAGCCTTGTTCAAATCAAACAAACACAAAGTAAGTATAAAAGCAAACCTTTTTAATGCGGCACTATGAATTCTGTGCATTCACAGCCAAGAGTCATTCAAAACTAATTGTCTCAGATAAGAACAAGCCTTTCAATGTTGCGAAAGGCTGCCAAGAACAAAAGACCAATTGCAGATAAATACCCCAAGTCAGAAGTTTCAAAAACAAACTGGAGCAAGCATGGCTTCAATGAGGACTCTGAGCATAAAGAACTTCTTTGCTTCCTGCAAAGAAGCCAACCCTGAAGGCTGGCTTTTATCCCTTATAGGAGGGGCCATTACCTTCCAGCCTTACTCCCGAGTCGCCCATGCTGCTTCAACTGCTCTTTCCTTTGAGCAGCCCTATACACACATGCACTGAGCACAGGCTCCTCAGGGTCCTCTTCGTCACTGCTGCCAGATTCCACGACCTCTGAAAGCATCACCCCACTCTCCGATAGTCCTGGCCGCATCCCTGCATCATATGCAGGTCCCTCATCCGAGTCCTCACTCTCAGAGACCACTGCCATCCGCACCTGCTGCCGGCGAACAACAACAGAAACTTTTAACATACTTTGGTCCACCAGTATTGTATAATTGTTAATTTTGCTACGAAAAACGTTCTGAGAAATCTGTATGGATAACTTTTGCCTATTTCTCAAAAGTTATTTTTCTTCCATTCAGTCATGTCTGATTCTTGGAGACTGTCAGTTTTCTTGGCAAGATTTTTCAGATGTGGGTTGCCAATGCTCCCTTCGTAGGGCTGACAGAACATGTTTGGCCTAAGGTCACCCAGCTGGTTTTGTGCTTAAGGTGGGACTAGAACTCACAACCTCCTGGTTTCTAGCCTAATGCCTTCACCACTACATCAAACTGGTTGTCAGGGTTCCCAGTAACACACCCATAGCAATCAAAACTACCGAGGCAGGTTGATTCCTCAAAAAATAGATTTATTGGACATGTCATATTGGCACGACGTAGTGAAAACTGATTTGGTGAGGTCCAGGGGCCTCCACTCGAGGATCGTGGTCCTCTGCTTCCTCGTTGAGGTGACCGGACGTTCTCTCGCCGGCTCCTGGAGGGCATATTGGTAGCCGAAGTCTTCCTCCGCCCAGTAGAGCTCCTGGATAGCCAGCCACTTGCTGTGAGCTTTGGGCCAGGTGCCCAACTGGCACTCGATGTCTACTGCTGCCGGTGCCCATTGCGGCAAAGGGGAGAACTGCAGGCTTTCAGCAACTCCTCCACAGGCTCCGCCGCCACCCACCGTCTCTTCAACATCATCCGTGAGAGGCAACACATCTTACAGTTGCCAAACTTGAGAAACATTGCTTTAAGATTTCACTTTTCCTTCAAAAAGCTGTTTCTGGCAATGGAGATAAAAATCAAAGGTTACGCATTGGGATCCTGCCCTGCCCCTATTCTTGAACGTAACTTAGATCTTGCTAGGATCTGAATTGATGGTGACTAAGACAGAATCCTCGGATTGTAGCTTGCTGCACGAAAGTAAGAGATAATTTTTATTTTGTTTTTTAAAACTTCCACCTTGCTTTTTTTTTGTGATTAAAACCAACCAAATTGTGTGCCAAGGCTTCTGAGGAAAGGAATAGGAAAAAAAAAATCTGTAATGCAGCCACCTTGGAAGAAAATCTGTTTGACAGAGCAATGAGTCATTATCTCAAATATTATGGAGAGCGTTTCAATCAGTAAATTGGAAGTAAGAAGCAGACAATTACATTATAATTACAGGGAGGTTGGAGCACTTTCTCTAAAGAAAGATCAATCGTGGGCGTGTAATAAAGTGTCTGGAACCACACAATCAAAATTAATTAGCTACAGATAACAAAGGACAACCTAGTAAAAGCAGTTAAAACAAGCTCGTCAGAAGAAGCAGGGACTTTTTCTAGCTTTGTTTCTATTTGGAAACCACCCTTGGATTTTTTTTTTTTTTTTTTGCAGGAAATGAAAACAAAAACAAAATTTTAATCTGGGGCTTTGATGCTTAGATTTGTTTATGATGATGGCAGTACTGTTTGCTTTGGTTTACTCTAGTTCAAAGGGTCACTGGTTTTTAGGCTTAGATCCGCATCTAAGTCAAAAGTTTATTTGCTTATTTATTAAGCTTATATAGCAATAGCACTTAGACTTATATACCGCTTTATATAGTGCTTTACAGCCCTCTCTAAGCGGTTTACAGAGTCACCATATTGCCCCCAACAATCTGGGTCTTCATTTTACCCACAAGGATGGAAGGCTGAGTCAACCTTGAGCCTGGTGGGATTTGAACTGCCAAACTGTAGGCAGCTGGCTGCAGAAGTAGCTTGCAGTACTGCACTCTAACCACTGCGCCACAGAGGCTTCTTTATGCTGACTGTCCTGCCTAGAGGCGACTATGGGTGGCTTACAATCATAGCAAAAAGATAAAACATTAAAGTGATAAATATTCACAATTTAAAATTGACAAGATGGGGAGGAAGAGAACAAGATGCACGCAGGAAGGAGGTGGGGTTATCTTATTCTATTATTATGAGCCGTAGTGGCGCAGTGGTTAGAACGCAGTACTGCAGGCTATTTCTGCTGATTGCCGCCTGCCAGCAATTCGGCAGCTCGAATCTCACCAAGCTCAAGGTTGACTCAGCCTTTTGTCCTTCCAAGGTGGGTAAAATGAGGACCCAGATTGTTGGGGGCAAGAGGCTGTAAACCGCTTAGAGAGGGCTGTGAAACACTGTGAAGCGGTATATAAATCTAAGTGCTATTGCTATCCACCTCCAGAACAACATGCCTCCACTGGGGTCCTGGACTACTTGGCAGAGCCAGGAAGGCCAAAAATGTGGGTATGGATCTCACTTTGGAGGGCATGATGTTCCAGAGGGTGGGAGCCATGGCAGAAAAGAGACCCCACCCGCTGGATTTCCTTGAAAGATGGGGTCCATTCTGCCAGCATGAGTGGGGCGGGCCAATCCCGTTAGGGGTGAGATGATTCTTCAGATAACCAGGGCATTAAAGGTAAGGACCAATACCTTCAATTGGATCTGGAAGCAACTGTCAATCAATGCAGCTTGTGGAACAGCGGTGTAACATGGGCCACCCTAGGGGTCCCAGGAACTGTTCATATAGCTGCATTCTATGCCAACTTCCAAAGACTCTTTAAGGCACCCGAGTAGGGTGAGTTAGGTTAAGAGCTGGTTTTCATTCTTCAGTACCAAAATGGTGTATCCAATAAAGTTGTGCTGTTGCGATTTTAAAACTCAAGAGAATGTTTCCTTATTTTGGGTTTGCTAGTTGGATGGTTGATAGTAGCCTCGCGTGGAGTGTGTGTTATTTATTTCTAGAGCTTTTTTTTTTTCTTTTTCATCTGCCTTCTGGAATTTTGTTTTTCCCTACCCCTTCCTCTTTTATTTAAATTATTTTATTCTTTGTTTTTAACAGAATAACAAGAGTTGGAAGGGATTTTGGTGGTCCTCTAATCCAACTCCCTGCTCAGGCAGGAGATCCTTATACCATTTCAAAGAAATGGTTGTCCATTTGTATTTTTATGTGTATTTTATGCTTCTTTCAAATTTAATAAAGCTGGCAAAGTACGTTCAGATTATTGTCTTATTGATATCTTTATGAAGCCATCTGAACTGGAGCTTGTTGGGGGCAATATGCTGACTCTGTGGATGGATGGATGGATGGATGGATTTTTTCTTGGCCAAGTGTGATTAGACACACAAGGAATTTGTCTTGGTGCATGTGCTCTCAGAGTACATAAAAAGAAAAGATACATTCGTCAAGAATCATAAGGTACAACACTTAATGAACTGCTTAGAGAGCACTGTGAAGTGGTATATAAGTCTAACTGCTATTGACATTAGCTTAAAAGAGATTTTATTTAAGAAACAATTTTGTTACTTAGCACTTATTAGCAGAATTAGGTTTGATTGTTATTTAGATAGGAAACAAAAGTACATACAAAGAATGTGGCCTATGTGTGTAGTTGTTAGCACTCAAGTTAGAGAATTTCCATAAAGCATCATATTCTCTGATCATCCCTTCTGACAAGCTCTGCATTTGTAGTGCAACAACCATGAATAACAAAGTTCAATAAATGTATACTAAAATATGGTGATTCTTTTTATTTATTATGTTTTTTTTTTGGAACAGGCAGCTTCTGAAAACTGAGTTGGGATCTTTTTTTACGGAATATTTACAGGTTCGTATAATCTTCTGTTTAGTTTTGATTTCTCTTTTACTGTTTTAATGAAAGCTTTATTATTAGCCGAAGCAAGTTACCAAATAAATTACTGATAGCTATTATTGTCCTTCTAAGAAATTTAAGCACCAAAATTTTGTTTGGTTATTTGCCCTGTGCTTCATCTTAAGATGCTTCGGGTTCAGAGAACCATACCCAGAAAGAGTACTGTAAATTTGGAGCAAAAACCCAGAGTGTTTACTACATGTCTGGAGCCCACTAAAGGTGCATATAAGGCAGCAAAGATTCCTTCCACTGTAAGCAAATTTTAGTCTAATAAAAATGTAATTTCCAAACAATCATTTTTCTATTGAGCTGTCATTAAAAAAACCCAGTGTAGTTAAAATACAGCATGTAATGAAAATTGTTAATATTTTGTGTCCTCTTTTCAGAACCAGCTGCTTACAAAAGGCATGGTGATCCTGAGGGATAAGATCCGATTTTATGAAGGTGATTAAGGCCTGTGTATGTTTCAAAATGATTTCAGAAAGGTGCTAACAGGACATCGGTATGCAAGCACTGTATTTCTTTTAAAGCAGCAGTATCCTTTTTTTCAGACTCCTGTACACACAGCCTGAGAGTGGATACAACTGCTTTAAGAAGTCACATGGAAACAGCCACACGGTTGTTTTAAGGAGACAACTCTTTAAAGCAGCTAGGTCTTTTTGGGGGGGTTCACGTGCAAGCCTGAAAAATGGTGTGGCTGCTTTAAAGAGGCACTGCATCTGGAAGTATGGACTACCCTGAAACAATAATATGTGCAAGAGTCAGGGTCGGTTTTCTCTTGTGGTCTGACTATCAAGCGCATAGATTAGGCCCAAAGCGGGGGGATGTTTAAACTTCTTAATATCCCCTGCAAGCTGCCTTTGAAAGAAAAAAGAGAGAAGGGAAGGAAGGAAAATAGAAAGAAAGAAAGAAAGAAAGAAAGAAAGAAAGAAAGAAAGAAAGAAAGAAAGAAAGAAAGAAAGAAAGAAAGAAAGAAAGAAAGAAGATAGTTCTCAATGTATGATCAGAACGGAACCTAAAATGAATGTTAAGAAATTTGTTAAGTGAATTTTGCCCCATTTTACAACTTCAATGCAGTTCTTAAATTAGAATACTACTATTACTCCTCCTCCTAATTATTATTATTATTATTATTATTATTATTATTATTATTATTATTATTTATTGTCATTGTATGAATATACACAGTATACACAAATTAGTAAATTAGTAACACAGTTGTTAAATGATTCTGGTTCCTTTCTTTCACATGACCCCAGGACACTACTACCATCATAAATGTGAGTTAGTTGTCAAGCAAAATCACATGACCATGGGGTAAACCTCATTGCCCTGGGGGTGCTGCAACAGTTATAGGTGTGAAAAATGGTCATGAGTCACTTTTTTCAGTGCCATTGTAATTTGGAGCAGTCACTAAATAAACTGTTGTAAGTCAAGGACTACCTGCAAAAGGTGCCGGGGCTGGTAGACGGAAGGTGGGGAATCATTAGTTGAGGCAGGAAATGAAAGATAAAAGATGCGGCTGGAGTGAAAGATAAACATGAAATGTACAGCAGAGAAGGCAGAATGACAAAGCAGATATATGCAGGCGCTGGAGAACAACACAAGGGAGAGTTAAAGAAGAAGTGAGAAAAATAAACTTTGTCTTAGTTATGGAGAGACAGACAGGAGAGGAGATTAGCATTCTTAAAACTGTGGATAAGCTGGTTGCAGGAGGAGAGAATATCAGCAGCTCAGGGTTTTGAGCAAAATTCAAACCATTTAGTTAAAAACTCTTTCTGCATACTTGTACTTTTTGTGAGTGTGCGTACTTACTAATATGCTTGGTCCCTCTGCACATACATAAACACCTACATCTGAAATATGATGATACGCTTTGCATTAAGCTAAGCTTGTATCTAAAACTGCCTTGCATTCACTCGATAGCTCTGTGCTGCACTCCTATTTCACACTCACCCTTCCACACCACAATTGGTGCCCCTGCATATGTTCTCTGAAGAACCCCTTCCGACTCCTTCTCATGCTTGCACAGCCCTAAGTTAAACATCCGGTTGGGCTCCTTGATGCATGTCAAGCCTCCTACCTTTACTTCCAGCCCGACCACAAAACGGTGGCTTTGCCTGGTCAACAAGGAAATGAAATTTGCCTAACAATTCGGCTTAGCAAACAGTAGCCTCCGAAAAGCCAGTTTATATTTTCTTTTCTTTTCTCAAATGATCAGCCTCTTGAAACATAAGTGAAAAGAAGGACTAGGGGTGACATGATAGAAGTTTTCCGATGTTTGAGGGGCTGCCCCAAAGAAGAGGGAGTCAAGCTATTCTCCAAAGCACCTGAGGGCAGGACAAGAAGCAACAAATGGAAACTAATCAAGAAGAGAAGCAACCTAGAAGTAAGGAGACATTTCCTGACAGTTAGAACAATTAATCAGTGGAACAACTTGCCTCCAGAAGTTGTGAATGCTCCAACGTTGGAAGTTTTTAAGAAGAGACTGGACAACGATTTGTCTGAAATGGTATAGGGTTTCCTGCCTAAGCAGGGGGTCGGACTAGAAGACCTCCAAGGTCCCTTCCAACTCTGTTATTCTATTCTATTCTATTTTAATTTAAAAACTTCCAGTGCTGGAACATTAATTGCTCTGACTGTCAGGAAATTTCTCCTTAGTTCTTCTCTCCTTGATTAGTTTCCACCCACTGCTTCTTGACTTGCCCCCAAGGGCTTTGGAGAAACCCACAGTCATATGGCCACGATTTAGACCATTTTTGCTGAAAACCACTGTTTACTTCTAGTTTCCAGAAAAAACAGGCTGTAACACACAACAGATCTGATGTTGATTAAAAACCACAGTGTTCACTTAACGACCACAACAAAAAAGTTCCTAAAAACCCTCCATAATGGACAGCCTCCATTACAATCCTAGCTGAGAACTTCCTGTATTTCCATGCAATGACTTACGTTTTAGACGTTCATCCGGTTTAACTTAACCTGTTGTTTTTAACTTACAGGACAGAAACTTTTGGATACGTTGGCTGAAACCTGGGATTTCTTTTTCAGTGATGTCCTGCCCATGCTGCAGGCCATATTCTACCCCGTGCAGGTAAAATGCAATTGTGGTGCTTTAGAATCCGGATAAACCAGTAAGTGGAATTCTGGTGATTGATGAAGAGAGCTGCAGGTCATTTGCTTGGCAGTCTGGCAAAGCCCCAGGCAGGAAAAACATTTAAAATAAAAATGTTCTTCTTGGCTGTACTATTCGGGTTATTTCCCTTGGCTTCCCCTTAAGTTGAACGGCATTTCAGATAAGAAGGCAAAAAAAGCCTTATTCTCGATCTGATTTTTTTTTTAAAAAAAAAAGAGGCCAGTTTTTTTCCAGGATCCCACAGGTGCCTTTTGCAGCTCCAGTCTAATTCCAGAAAAACCTGTTTTGGTGGTTTCGCCCAATTGGAACATCTTTGCTCCTTGGTGAAATAGATCCATCTCACAGCAGAGAAATAGAAGCAAACTTGAATTTTAAAAACTGGGAAACAACTCTTTTAAAAATGTTAAATAGGTAGCTTCACCTCAATCTGTGGTAAAATAATTCAAATGCAGCATAGGGCTGCTCAAATCACAGCATTGTAGAAGAACCACACCTAGAGTACCACACTATTTGGTCACCACACTATAAAAAAGATGTTGAGACTCTAGAGCCGTGGTGGCGAACCTATGGCACCCGTGCCACACGCGGCACGCAGAGCCATTTGTGCCAGCACGTGAGCTGCAGGCAAACTTACCTCACTGGGCATGCTCATGCCTCACAGCTGATTTTCAGCCGGCTTGAGGCCTTTTTCGGCAGGTTTGTGACAAAACCGGGCTAGTTTTCAGCCTGCAAAGCCTGAGAAGCCTGCAGAAGCCTTCCTCTAGCCTTTGGGAGGCCGAAAAAGGCCTCAAACCAGCCCAAAATTAGCTGTGAGCGCAGTGCAGGTAAGTGGGCGGCAAACATGGGTGGGTGGGGATTATGCACGCATGCGCAGGGGGGGGGGCACACAATTTTTGGCACAGGAGCCCAAAAAGGTTAGCCACCACTGCTCTAGAAAGTGTGCAGAGAAAAGCAACCAGGATGATTAGGGGACTGGAGGCTAAAACATACAAAGAACAGTTACAGGAACTGGGCATGACTAATCTAGTGAAGAGAAGGACCAGGGGAGACATGATAGCAGTCTTCCGATATTTGAGGGGCTGCAACAGAGAGGATCTCTGGGTAGATGCTTCCAAAGCATCTGAAGGCCAGGCAAGGAATAATGGGTGGAAACTGAAGAAGGAGAGATTCAACCTGGAAATAAGGAGAATTTTTCTGAAAGTGAGAGCAAACAATTCTGGAACAGAAATTGCCTTTGGAAGTTGTGGGAGCTTTATCATTGGAGGCTTTCAGGAAGAGATCGGACTGCCATTTCTCGGAAATGGTGTAGGGTCTCCTGCTTGGGCGGGGGGTTGGACTAGATGACCTACAAGGTCCCTTCCAACTCTATTAATATCTCCAGTGAGAGGAAATGCTCCAAAGAGATCCCAAGATAATGCTAAACTCCTCTGATTTAGAAGCAATTCAGTACCTAAGACACAAACGTAAAGACAATAATCATTAGAGACAGAAGAGTTAAAAACATACTCAGAAAAGGAAATTAAAATTACTAGAGTTCTTGACTAACTTAGAATAAGCTATTCTGTAATGTGTATTCTCGAAGTAAATTCTGATTCACCCCCACTCCCAACGTGAAGCTCTTGTTTTGACTTAAATTTCATAGGACTTTGTACTTCCATAACATTAACCTCTGTTTTCACCTTGCAGTGGAATTAGAACTGCTATTACAAGGTGCAAAGGACAATCTTGAGTTGGGTCTGACTTATTAACTTCATGGACCCATTTGTGTATTTTTTTGGCAACAGTATGGGTTGCCTAGAATGTGGTTTGTTTTTTTTTTCAACTTCCCATTCCAGCATTCTCCAGTGCTGGGATTTCTCAGTGGTTTCCCATCTGATCCTAACTCGGAAACATTTTCTGAAAAGTGCTGGTTTAATTTTAATGTGCTACGTATGATGAAGAACATTGTCATGCCCCTGGTGGAGACTGACTCTGAGGGAGAGGAGGAACAGCCGACAGGGAGTGGAAGCGTGGCTCCGGAAGGTTGTGGAGGAGGCTGGGGAAGGGCAGAGGCCGGCTGGGCAGTCAGAGGAGGACCCAGGCCCATCCCCTCTCCATCCTAGGGCACGCAGGGAGGAGAGGATAAGGGAAAGATGTTGTCTACTTGGGAGGAGAGGGCCTTGATCCTCTTCATGGGCTGCAGCTGGGACGGACTTGCGTATGGGCGAATGCTGGAAACAAAGTGTGGAAATATCTCTAGTTTATGGTTCCTTTCTGAGTTTGGCGTCCTTCCCAGTGTGTGTTCCTCCAGCCCTTATCTTGCCTTGTTTGTGTTGTTGTTGTTTTTTCTCTTCAGTCAAGGATACTTGGAGCTTGGAAGCAAAGTGAAGGAATAAAAGGGGCTTCACCGTTTTTTTTGTGACTGTGTTTATTTTGTATCTCACCCTGGGTCATCACAAACATTGATTTTCAACCTCAAGCTGTGAGGGCTTCAATTCCCAGAATTCCTCAACCAGCGTGCTGAGAGTTGGAAGTCCACACTTCAACACTAAAAAATTGCTGAGGTTTAGAAACAGTGACGTGAGATATCCATCAGATTAAAACGCTGTTACTTTTATTTAAGAATTTGTTGCTCGGGCTCTTACATTATATTCAGCTTTTTGGGTGTCCATTTTGTAAGAATCCAATGTATTGGCAACAAGGACAGCAGACAGAATATTAAGAAATTCCCTTAAGAGGGGATAATAAACCAATATAATTTATTACAGTAGCCGTACGGTTCAAATCTATAAAAAAAATGTAGCAAAAAATTAGGCTTTAAAGAGTTCACCAGTCCTGAATCCCAATACAGGTAGTCCTCGACTTACGACCACAACTGAGTCCAAAATTTATGTTGCTAAGTGGGGACATTTCTTCAGTGAGTTTTGCCCCATTTTACAACCTTTCTTGCTACAGTTGTTAAGTGAATCACTGCAATTGATAAGTTAATAACCCGGTTATTAAGTAAATCTGGCTTCCCCATTGACTTTCCTTCTGACAAGAAGGTTGCAAAAGGTGTTTGATCACATGACCTTGGGAGGCACCAGTGGTCATAAATATGAGTCAGTTGCCAAGAGACTGAGTTTTGATCACGTGACCATGGGGTTGCTACAAAGGTCGTAAGTGTGAAAAACAGCCGTAAGTCACTGACTTTGAACTTTTTGCTGCAATTCTTCGTAGTGGGAGAAACACTTCTCAGATCAGTTAATATTCATATGGGTTTTTCTAATGTTTTCAGCCCCGTTGTAACTTTGAATGGTCACTAAATGAACTGTTGCAAGGCGAGGACTTAACCTGTCAGGGTTATTCAGACCAAATGTTCATGGAACAGCCTCTAGTTCACTCCAGGACAATCAGGGAATAGGCGTTTTGAATTTCAAATCTACAAAATAGTCTACAAATCATGAAAAACCTTTTGTTTGTTTCCTGCAGGGGAAGGAGCCTCCTGTCCGTCAGCTGGCCCTGTTGCACTTCAGAAATATTATAACTCTCAATATAAAACTGGAAGACGCGTTATCCCGTTCCCGCGCAAGGATTCCTCCTTCAATTGTCCAAATGTTACTCATCCTACAAGTATGGATTTTTCTGGCGCACCCTTACTGAATTGTCAGCTTTGGAAGCCATATTCATTTCCTCACTGCCACATTCTTGAGCCTGGGAAAGTGGGAAGGGGCGAAGTTCTTGGAGTGTATGATGTTAGCCATAATAGCATTTTTCTTCTAAGTCAAGGTCATGTTACTCTGCACCTGGGTGAGGGCATGTCTCAAGTTGGGACGGATGGTGATTGGGGCATGTGATGTGATGATGGGTGCAAGGCAGCGGTGGGATTCAAATATTTTTACCACTGGTTCGGTGGGCGTGGCTTGGTGGGCATGCTTGGTGTGCGTGCACACTGTGTGTGTGTGCACACCAAACGCACACTTGGCACAGGCGCAGAGGCGTTCTAACTCACCTCCTGCAAGCCTGCACAATCCCGGGCACTTCAGCAGCTGCCGCGTGGCACTCTTCTATGCTGCGCAAAGCAGCTGCGCTTCAAATTCAGAGCGAGTATGGGAGCCCAGGTGGGCGGGTAGACCCAATAGCAGAGCAGCAGAGAGAACCAGTTTGGTCTCCGCTGCTCATCGCTGCTACCGGCTCTGCAGAACCAGAATACCACCCCTGGTGCAAGGGGTGGATTTGTAGTTTTTACTTATTGCAAGGAAGCCCGAAACTTTCAGATTCAGGATTCCCCAGATGTGCCAGTTTGCTATCCAAATAAGACAGAACTTTTGAGAAGATGTCTGCCTGGGAGTTAATTGTTGGAGTGGAGGTTTTCTGGAACGCTGACAACTGAACTGTAAGTTTCGAGTGGTAGAGGTAGTTCTTGATTTATGATTGTTCACGTAGTGACCATTTGAAGCTGCAACAGATCCCAAAAAGGTACTTATGATCCAGAGTTGAAGTTATAAACACGCACCGGAATCACCTACAGCAGGGGTGTTAAACTGGGTTTCTAAAAGGGCCAGATCAACATTGTAGTCAGACTCATGATCTGTGGTCCTTCCGCCATCTGCCTATTAATGCCTACCCCAAGGAATGGCATTCCTGGGTGGAGAACTTTTGAGTTGTTCATAAATTCAGGTTTCCAGGCACCAGGCTGGCTGGGGAAGCTTTTCAATTATCTTTTAGGAAGTGGGGTGAGGCATCCAAAATAGATTACACAGCGGTTGAGACAGCATGATGCAAGATGTTTCTTCCCTATAAAGTCATGGTTGTGAAACATTGCTGGGAGGCCCAGACAAGTGTGTGTGTGTGTGTGTATACAAATAAATAAATGTATGGTATCTTTATTGCAATTTAAAATTTGTATCACATTTTATACCAGCCAAATGTTTCCAGAATGTTTTATAGAACTTTTCCCAATGAAACAAAAATATTACATATTCCTGTATAAAGTAAGGAATGAAAACTGCGGGAGGAGGGAATATCTCAATTCGCTTATTATTTGAAAAACTCACCCAAAATATCTGCCATAAAAGAGTGAAGTATGTGGAGAGGTTTTAATTCCCATAATATTTTATAGAACTTTTCCCAATGAAACAAAACTATTACATATTCCTGTATAAAGTAAGGAATGAAAACTGCAGAGGGAAAAACCGAATTTGCTTATTATTTGAAAAACTGAGCTAAAATATCTGCATAAAAGAGTGAAGCATGTGGAGAGGTTTTATTTTTTGATAGTCTTTCAACTCGCTGCTTCAAGATTGTCTCTTCAAAGTGTCATTTAAATTTGGCCTTGTCAGCCTGAGAGTTTTCCACAATCCTATAAAAATTGCCAATAGTGATCAAGAAAGCAAATCGTGGCACCAAAAATGTTTTTTTTTAAATCCCCCGAGGCACCATGGGAGAATTAGAAAAAGGTTTTTAAAATCTTAAAATTTTAAAATCCTCTCTTTTCTGCTCCCCAAGGCAAAGTGGACCACAGCAGGTGAGGGAAGTTCAGAGGGTCATGAAACGTCAAAATGAGCTTCCATCCCATGACCACAGCTGCCATTGGGCCTGTTTTTAATCCACTGGAGGACATCCTCCCTCTGGGGAGGTTGGTTTGAGGGCCTCTCCGCCTGGGGAATGAGGAGGGATGCAGGGCACGTCCTGGGAACACAGCCAAACCAGAGTCACCCTGCTGGTTCCTGCTTGAGATGCAAGAAGCCTAAAGCTCTCACAGCAGAATGTGGGAGTCTTTCTCAGCAGGCCCTTCTCCGTTTTGTGCTGTTCACAAATAGTAACGAACTCTTCAGCTTGGTGCAGCATTGTGCAGGGAAGATTTCTGACCCGTAACTTGCCGCACTTAACACTTGAATTGCTTTTCTCTGACGGCAGTCCCTCTGGATAGATGAGCAAAGAATTCACCCCCACTGTATTGCTTTTAACTGGGACGGTGCCTCTTTCTGCTTTTCAGGGTTGCCTCTTTCCATCTAGGTCCTCTTCAAATTGGCTCCATTTGGGCTGCCTTAATCCAGCCCTTCCTGCCCCCACCTCTTCTTATTTCACGATGCTGTCCCTCCCCTGTTACGATCAGAGGTTACCAAAAAAAAAAAAAAGGAAACAGCGGAAGAAGGGGAGAGCCTGAAAATGAAAGCACAAGTCTGTTAAATCTCTGGCTTTTGGGATTCTTGGCTGCTTTTCAAGCAACTCAACAATTTCCTGCTTTTTGTTCAGAGGACTCTACTAACAGGGACATCCTGGTGGGGTGGGGGGTCAAGATGCCAGCTGCATGATACCCTCTTTTTTTTTAAAAAAATGTGTTGTATCACTCATGAAGTTGCTATTTTAATTTGCTGCTCAATTAGTTCCCATTGCAGCTTGTTAATCACTCACAAATCTGTAGCGCTGCCTCCCCTTGCAAAACTGAGAATTCAGGGCAAGAAGACTACCTCTTTTTTTTTAATCCCACACACAAAAAAAAACTCAACGTGGACAGAATTTTTTTCCCCTTTGCTGTCCAAGAATACCCTCTGTACTGTATTGTCAGGGTACTGGGTCTTTATGGCTGCATTCGCACAACATGGATTATCTGCTTGCTGAATCAGCCCCCATCTGCTGAGTTTGTGCAAGACATCGGGCCAACCCAGAAAAAGAAACTAACCTGTGGTGGGATTCAAAAGTTCCCACCACCGGTTCTGTGGGCATGGCTTGGTGGGTGTGGCTGCAGGGGTGGGAATTGTGCGATTGCGTGCGCCAAACACACGCTTTGCGCACGCATTAAAAGAGTACAAACTAAGCTACTGTGCCTCTCAGCTGTTTAGCACAGCAATCTGCTGAGCCAAACAGCTGAGAGGTTAAAAAGGATCTAGGAGCAGGGAGCGGGCAGGTGGGCCCAACTGCAGAACGTCGGAGAGACTCGGAGCAAACTGGTTCTCTGCCAGTTGATCTTCGGTGCTACCGGTACACCAGGTAGAACAAGGAGCCTCTGTGGTGCAGTGGTTAGAGTACTGTAAGCCAGGGCTCTCCAACCTTGGCAACTTTAAGCCTGGAGGACTTCAACTCCCAGAATTCCCCAGCCAGCAAAGCAAAGCTGGCTGGGGAATTCTGGGAGTTGAAGTCCTCCAGGCTTAAAGTTGCCAAGGTTGGAGACCCCTGCTGTAAGCTACTTCTGCAGCCAGCTGCCTAGAATTTGGCAATTCAAATCCCACCAGGCTCGAGGTTGAGTCAGCCTTCCATCCTTCCGAGGTGGGTAAAACGAGGACCCAGATTGTTGGGGGCAATAGGCTGACTCTGTAAACTGCTTAGAAAGGAAAGCACTATAAAGTGGTAAATAAGTCTTAAGTGCTATTGCTATTGCTATACCAGCACTGAAACTAACCAAGGAAGAAGATAAATTGAAGGAAAAAATAGGTTAGGTGCCTACAGCAAGAAAAAACTTGGGGACTATTGGCCCACCATTGAGTGATAACTGGGTAGATTGATGGCCAGTGATCTAACAGTGTGGACAGATATCTTGGGAGACCTCTTAAGGTGAGCCAGAGGAGCCTGCTAGTTAGGAAGGTTGATATGGAAGTTTTCTATCTCCAGGTTAAGCAGATTCCTTCCTGGTGGATGAACATGGATGGGTGAACCAGCTAGTTATCACCTCTCCAAGTGAAAGACCTCCTGTTCCAAACTAATCTAACTCCCACCCTGCACTTCCCCCATTCATGTCAATCCAACAGGTTGTACTGGATTAAAAAAAACTGAAGCAGAGTTCTCCTTTTGGTTTTCCAGGGTGTTCATGAATCAAAAGGAGTTACTGAAGATTACTTGAAGTTGGAAACTCTCTTGCAGAAGGTTGTTTCTCCTTACTTGGGAACGTACGGTTTGTACTCCAGTGATGGCGCTCTCACTCACTCTTCCTGTATTTTAGGTAATACTTCTAGAGCGTGGCCAATGGTAGCATATCTTCTTAAACGTATAAACGTAACAGAAATAATTTATTCTGTATAATAATAATCTGACATCCTGTATATACGACACCCACTTCTTAATCAGTGTTGTCTCCCAAGGCTTGTTACGAAACTAATAGGTCAACTGGCTTTAGAGTTAGTAGCTTTCTTATCAGATATCAGAAAACATCTTGAAACCTACTTCCTGATTCCATTCATTTGCTTCTTCACATTTCAAAGTTGTGAAGCATGTGAAAATCACTCCGCAGTGCCTGGAGTGTAGAAGTTCTGTCCAGGAAGGGCGGTGGACTGTAGAGTTGACCAAGGAGGCTTTCCAAGTGGAAGAGGGAGAATTCATAGTGGTGAAGAGGTTGGCTTAGGAACAAGGAGATCAAAGTCACAGAGAAATTTTACAAGGCCGAAAGAGGATTAGACTCAGATCTCCTTGCTCCAATCCTCTTTCAGCACTGTAAAATTTATGTGTGGCTTTGATCCAGAGTCTCTCTCTCTCTCTCTCTCGCTCATTCTCCCAGACCGAGAGCCAGTGTAAGGCTATTGAACTAGAAGCAGGAATACCCAGTTCTCATCCCTACTTAAGCACAGAGGGTCCTTGGTGATTTTGGGTTGATCTTTTCCTCTCAGTCCAAGAATCACAGTGGGGTAGAGAAAGTAAGGACTAGGAGTAGGGAAACTCAGATTCTAATCATCATCAGCCACAAAAATTCCCTGTAGATTTTGGGTTAGTCGCTCTCCTTTGGACCAACCTGTCTCACGGGGCTGTTGTTTGAGGAAAAGACAGGAGCAGGGAGTATGGAATAAAAGAGGAGGCAAAAGAATTAATAAATGAATACTCATCTCTTTCCTGGGGTAAATTTATCTTCTTCCTCGGGCATTCTCAAAGGAGAAACCCTACAAACCCTACACACTTGTATAAACTTCTTGTGTAGCTTGCATGAGGTAGGCAGAAAAAGAAGGAAAAGAACAGAAAAGAGAAGAAAGCCCCAAATGCCTCTCCACTGAATCCTTGGCTGCATAATCTGTTGTTACATCCTTTTGCAAACATCTCGGCTCCAACTTTGTTCCAGGAAGAGTACAGTATTAAGCTAGTGCCATCTCGTGGCCAATCTGAATTTCTGACAAGGTGTGGATGTACACCGCCAGTTTCTGGAATGGAAACTACCAAAATAATGTGTCCCTTCATGGAAGAATAGGATAAAGTATACAAGTGAACTAATAAGAAAGTGAAGTCAGTGATTGCTGCTCTTAATAGACAGTAACACCAAGCTTCTATTTGAAGAGGCCAAAATTTAATAAAGGTTTGGAATGTAGACAGTACTGTTGAACAGAGGATCTGGGAAGCAAAGATTAGAGGACCCTTCCTTTCCATTATGCCTCTTTTGATTCAAGTCCAAGGGAGACAGTTGTACAGACACAGGGAAATTGAATGGTCAGGAAAAAATAGAAACAAATGTAAGAAAAGGAAGTTCACATGCTGATTTGAAGTCTGTTCAAAGTTTTGCAGCGTTAATTCAGCGCCAGAAAAGTAAACACGGATGGCTGATGCTTCATATAATGTCTTTATAAACATAATAAGTAGATTTTACAAACCAGTTGTAGATTTCTCCAACATGGAGCCAACTCAGACAGAAACATGTTGCAAGTAACTTCAGCAGGTAAGCAAGCAAGTTAGTTTCATTTTCAATCGACAGACTCAGAGCTTAACATAGCTTCAGAGCTGCAGAGCTTAATATAGAGCCACGCCTAGGCTACTTCTAGTTTCAGTTTACAAACAGTCCTCATTGGCTGACTTAGTTGCTCTGCCTATTCATTGGCTGACCTTGTGACCAAGCTCTATTCCAGTTCATGAATATACTCTGACAAAGTCACCGTCCAAATACCTGGGCTCAGTCTTTCTGTGATGGGTTAGTTGTCTTGGTAGGCACCCTATGAAGATTTTAACTGTTCTCTGTGTTTGTTAACAGAAAAACGCTTCTTTCGGCGCTCTAAATCGGGGGATATTCTTGCTAAGAATCCGGTGGTGAGATCCAAAAGTTACAACAACCCTTTGTTGACTCCCGTAGCCGAGTATGAGACAGAAGGCACGAACGCCAACAGCTCGAGCATCCGACGACACTCGGTTTCTGAAATGACCTCCTGCGGTGAGATGCTGGGCTATTCCAATCTCACAACCATCACAGACAATGGATCCAAGAGCTCCATGCTCACCATGAAGATCCTGCCAGCAGGAGAACAGGAGAGGATTTCGGCTGGTTCAATGCAATGTGTGTCTGATCAATCCAAAGGACTCTTCTATCCCACAGAGAACCCGACCAGGGCATTTGAGTTAGGCCAGGACTCAGACTTGCTTGCCATTGCTCCCACAGCCAGCCCTGAGAACATAGTGGACCAGATTTTAGAATCGATCGATTCCGATTCCGATGGGATTTTCATTGATTTTGGCCCAAACTGCTCTGGCTCCCCGGGATACAATATGGATGTGAGCAGGCAAAGCGTGGTCTGAAAGGAGTTGTGCTTTGCAAGTCCACCAGTTCTGGGTGGGTGGAGTAAGAGCTCTGCCTACTTTTCCAAGTCAGATAATGAGGATGATCTCACCCCAGAGAAATACGGATAACCCAGGCTTGGGAAAACGGCGGTGCCACTGAATCTTTGTGGTCAGGTTGCATCTGTTTAGGCTAAGTTCATAAAGTCACACTGAGGTCCACCCATGACCAGGCTGAGCGATGGGTAGTGATGGAGCTTAGGTTGTGCATCCAGGTTGAACTGAATCACGCAGAATAACAGGCCTGAGATACGGTCTGATGTTCAACCTCCTTTAATGTCCTTCATAGGTGACGTTCAACCTCCTTTAATGTCCTTCATAGGTGCCCCCCTCCTCCTAGGGATGTGATTTGCCTCCCATCATTGCCTTCTTTCCCAGTGTTTTTCCAGTTTGTATGTTCAGCTCACTTGCCTGGTATCTCCTTCCTCAGAATTCTCCTTTCCTGCAGGAGTCAGCCAACCAGAGCCAAGCAGAAGAAGCAGGAGGTCAGTTGCCAGTTATTCTTCCAATGGATGCTCCTTGGTGTAGAGTAGAACATGGATGACTCCCCCATAATCCCAGCATGATACTTTAGGACAGAAATAAGCCGCTTTTGGCACTCAAGGGCAGCACAGGTGTTGATGAGTGGTGAATTGGGACTAGCTCAGGTGTACATACCTATATGTATGCACATGCATGTATCTATAGTCACTCGTGTGCAAGCAGGGGTGGCATCATCAACTTCGCTGGAGAAGGAAGTTGAAGTCCCCTCCTTGTTTGCGTGTGCTGTCCCAGCCATGGCCAGTTTTCAGGATGACCCTCTTGTTGTGCAGCCCTTGCCGTGTTAGACTTCTCTCAGAGGAGAAGGCAGTTGTGTTGTTGGGACACGTAGAAGAGTCACAGCAGTCATGGAGTCCCCTCTGTCAGGTCTCAGTGGCTGGAAGATTCTAGTTTACCCTTACCAGAATGGTTGAGCAGGAATGCAAAGAATGTCAACCGTCTGTGAGGACCTGATGGACCAGAAATAAGAGGAAATCCAGCTCCCCTCTTGATTGAATGGCATTGCAAGAGAGCATGAAGTTTTCACAGCTTCCTGGGCTAACTTCTGAACTTCTCCTTTCATTTAGTCAAGAACTGACAGTTGTCTTATATCCGTGATGGCAAACCTATGGCACACATGCCACAGGTGGCACAGAGAGCCCTCTTTGTGGGCACATGAGCCGTCGTCCCAGCTCAGCTCCATCACGCATGCACACACGCCTCCTGCTGGCCAGCTGGTCTTCGGGTCTCTGCCATACATGCGCGGGGCGCATGGGCGGGGGATGCACACACATTGCATTTTGGGGGCGCGGGCGTGCGTACTTTGGGCACCAGTGCTGAAAAGGTTAGCCATCACTGTCTCATATGGTTCCCCTTTCCAGGAATTCCCCTTTCCAGAATAAAGTCAGGATGGGGTTTAGGGGTGTTTTTACTGATCTCATGGTGTCATAGCCAGAGATTGGCTGAACCCTGATAAGTTGGATCTGACTTCTTTCAGAAAGAGCAGGATTTGAGAGCCCAGGATACTGCCTCTAATAAGGTAGATAATTTATTTTGGGCCCCAACCACTACAAAGGAGGAGGGAATCTCAGCTTGGACACTTGGAAAAGGAAAGCTGAGATATTACTAGGCGTCAGAGAGATGACCATATGAACTGTCTTCATGGCAAGCTACCATGATGGATACCGATAAAATGAGTTACCTCATGACACAGTGAAAGCAATGAGAGAAATTACGCACGATGAACTTGAGTCTTGCTGATTGAAATGTTATTTACAGATTCCCCATTGTACTTAAAGTGTATGACTTTAAGCTAAAAGTGGTATTTGGGGACTTGAAAATAGTCTATGTGGTGCTTAATCCGCAGTCATTCATATTTGCAAATCAGCGTAACAGCAAATGATCCATGCATGTGTGAAAAAGTCCCCAGCCTTCACTTTGGGGAAATGTGTCATTTAAACATGCTCTTTCTGCCTCATTACTGCCTTGATAGATTTCTGAATTAGGGAACTGTCGTAATGGCAATTAATATTAGAAAATCCACCTTTCTCATGAAGCTAAAAACCATGTTCACAGCTTCCAAACATTTCCTTAAAACGAAACCCTGCTCTTCAAAAGTTAAAATGTGTCTATAGGCTGCAAAAGAAAGAAAGAAAGAAAGGGGTTTTAATTTTTTTAAAAGTTGTTCCAAATATAATAGAATTTGACTGATTTATAGCGGCTACTATTTTTTAATGATTCTCACTACATCCACATGTCTTTCACCAATCAAGAGAAGTTTGTAAAACTAATTTAAATAAATAATGTGCTTGCTACTGATTGGTTGAGAGCCTGTGTCCAGAATGGTTTTTTTTAAAACCAAAGAAACCAGAGAGGATTTTTATCAAGGTCGTCTTAATTTATTTGTGTTACAAGTGATTGGGGCATGCAGTGGAGATGACCCAAAGGGTTTTACAGCAGTGTGAATAAAATATACACATACATTAAACAAAAAAATATGCCAAGACACTCACAACACAATTGTGATGACCCAGGGCATGGCACAGAGATAACACAAACAGCTGGAAGTTCAAACCATCCCTTCAGTGCTCCAAATTTCCCACATTTCTGGCAAGTCCCAGAGCAGGGTGATAACAAACCCCCACCCAAACCTCAAGCAGCCTCTGGCTGCAAATAGTGCAACCCAGTGCTATCTACACCAAGGCTATACAAGGAGTTCAGGAAGCAAACGATCCAGCCCACAGGAATGCAAGGACTCTTGGAAAGTTCAAAAGTCAGCACACAACACTTCAGGAACTCAGCCTTTTCTAAAGTTATTTCTATTACTAATATAACAATACAATCTTATGTACCTTTACAGAATCCCTTTTTCAGTTAGATTTTCACCCATTCTCTCTAAATAGGTCCTGTTTCTCTATATCTTGTTCCTTTGTAACTTCTTTTCCTTTCCTTTCCTCCCTCTCTTCTTCTCTCCCCCCCTTTTACTCCCTTGTCTCTCTACCTCTATTTCTCTCCTCTGTATTCCCCTTTTCTGTTGCTTTCCAGTATTATACTTATTTTTTGAATTATTTTTCTTTTCTTTGGTTGTTTTTTTAAGCCTTAAATTCTCCATTCTCTTTCCCCTCTTTCTTTTTTCTTCCCCACATAAAATTACTTGTTCATTAAAGATGGCTTCTTCGTCCCAATCTTGTTTTGCAGACGTTTCTTGTTGTTTCTAATAGTTCCAAATCTCCATTTCTAAGAATTGAAAAATGAAGCCAAAAGAACCCTTCCCTTCTTGTGCATCTTCTTTGTACTTTTTAAGTTTTCCCCACCCGTGCCTTTGCCTGCCAGGAAATCTGCATCTAAATACATGCATGCCAAACAGGCAGAACTCATGCCCAAAACGAAGGGCAACATTTTTGACAGACACTGTTAGGTTTAATTATTTTCCATTATTCTTGGTCTATTACAGATTTGTATTTGGGCATGAGGAATGAAATTCCACGAGCTGCATTGCTGAGATTAGCAGATGATTCTCAGCTGGTTGCAAAGCTTCAATAGCAATTACAGCAGCTTGCAATCTCTCGATCATGCATCAACCCATCATTTGCATCTATCTATTCACATCAAGGTCGTTTGGTTGTCATCTTTTAATCGCCAGGTTGGTTCATCTGCTTTAACGCAGAATGCAGCTGGAGAACTTCCATTGATGTCCACCAGGCAAACTCTAGGGGGCACTCTTCTATGGCCCAGATTCAACCTCAACTTTGGTTGAATGTAGGAAATGTTTTTTTAAAAAGTCATGACAGCATGATCAAAGTCAAAGGAGGTCACGATGGGGTGATCAAAGTCATGTCTATTTTTTATGTGTGTTGTGTGTTTACACAACAATAGGTGGAATGGTAGCCTATTTATGTAATAGGTAGAATGATAGAAACCTTTTTTTTCACTTCTTTAACTCTACTCTGCAGACACCACTGTTGAATGGTTCTCATGTCTTCCTAAAGTTTAGACCTAAACCATTCTTTCCCAACCTTAGCTATTTTAAGATATGTGGACTTCAATTCCCAGAATATCAATACAAATGTCTCACTTAGCAACAGAAATTTTGGGGATCAATTGTGGTTGTAAGTTGAGGACCAATATAATTTATTACAGTAGCCGTACGGTTCAAATCTATAAAAATTTGTAGCAAAAAAATCAGGCCAGAAAAAATTCACCAGCCTTGAATCCCAAGGACTACCTGTATTATCCCCTCTTAAGGGAATTTCTTACTATTCTGTCTGCTGTCCTTATTGCCAATACATTGGATTCTTACAAAATGGACACCCAAAGCTCACTTAACAAATATCTCACTTAACAACAGAAATGTTGGGAGCCAGTTGTGGTTGTAAATCGAGGACTATCTGTATTCGAAATCCAGATCATTAGATTAAGGGTCCACATAGGATGCTGGCATGTTGCATGTTGGCACGTAGGCCAAGAAAGTCCAGTTGTATACACCATGAGTAAGTTAATTATGGATGGGAAACATACCTGGAAAAGGCAGGGTGTGTATTGTTTGTCCTGTTGCTCAATTACCCCAATGCCTAGGTTCCACCCTCCAGAACATCCTCCAAGCTTCTTCCTGCCCACCAAATGTAGGGACTGTTTTGCAAACTACAGCCCCATTAAGACATTCTCAAGTCCAGGCAGTGGACTGGAGACTGGTGTCCAAAATTAAAAAGGCAGCCACATGGTCTTGTGTGTGCTGCACAAAAAAATCAGCCAAAGTTTTAATCACACCATTATAGCTCCCTCAGACCACACCCCATCTCCTGAGGGCTTCTCTTGGACCCAAATGGGTACCAATCTTGTCCCAAGGTGGTTTTGGATTGACCAGTGTAACCTACCAGGCATTGGCATAGATATCCTTTCGGGTCTTAGCATTCTATTTGCCTCCACCACCCCTCCAGTGTTCAAATCACTATGTAAAGGATCTACTCATCCTATGGACACTCTCTTCTAAGAAACTGTGGACCTCACCCCTTTCTTAAAGAGGTCCTTAAAGGGGGCGGGCCTACCAGCCCTGTCTTACCCACCCCATTTATCTGTATTTACTTCCTTTGTTCTTGTTTATAGAGTAGAGTAGAGTAGAACAGAACAGAATAGAATTCTTTATTGGCCAAGTGTGATTGGACACACAAGGAATTTGTCTTGGTGCAAACGCTCTCAGTGTACATCAAAGAAAAGATACATTCGTCAAGAATCATCAGGTACAACATTTAATAATAGTCATGGGATACAATTAGCAATCAAATCATACTAGGAAATAGTAAATATAAATCGTAAGGATACAAGTGACAAAGTTGTAGTCATACAAGTGGGAGGGGATGGGTGATAAGGAGTGATGAGATTAATAGTAGCAGACCTTGTAAATAGTTGGGACAGTGTTGAGGGAATTATGTCCATATTTATACTTGTTATCTTGTACATGTTTGACAAACAAACAAATACAGAAAAAAATCCCTTCCCTATCCCACCTGCACACACCAATGCATGCATAAACACTTCTTGCTCTTGAAAAAAACACCTTTTGAGTTTTTGTATTTCAAGGTACTATTACTTCAAGGAAGCCCCAGCAGGATAATAGACAAGCTGCTGTTGAAAGCTATAGTATATACCAGGGGTCTTCAAATTTGACAGCTTTAAGACTTGTGGACTTCAACTCCCAGAATTCCTCCTCCAGTCATGTTAGCTCAGGCATTCTGGGAGTTGAAGTCGACAAATCTTAAAACTTGCCAAGTTTGAAGAGCCTTGCTATAGTATATAGCAGGGGTCTCCAGCTTTGGCAACTATAAATCCTGTGGACTTCAACTCCCACAATCCCTCAGCCAGCAAAGCTGGCTGTGGAATTCTGGGAATTGAAGTGCACAAGTCTTAAAGTTGCCAAGGTTGGAGACCCTTGGTATATAGAATGTATATACTATGATATTTTCCCCATAATTTCCACCTGGTGCATAAGGGAACAACTAGGTGAAATGGGAGCCTCCAGATTTGGCCCAGTTTTACCTCTACCCCTCCAGAAAACCTGAGGGCTTCCTCGTGGTCTCCCATCCCAGCACAGGTTTTGACCCTGCTAAGCTTGCTGAGCTGGGTGCTGTCACCTGAGGGAAACTCAAGCTCACCTTTGGACCTCGAGGAAGCTTTCCTTGGAAACCAAGCCCAGCTCGTGCCGGGAAAGCTGGTGGTAATCCAGAGCAGCAGCGACACACCTCCACCGGGCAGGTGGGATCTCCAGGTAAAACAGGTGGCCCTCCTCACCTGGCCTGGCTCGGCCTGCCCTCAGCCCCCTCCGTCCCGCTTCTCCCTGCCTCCCCGCGAGCAGGGCCTTCCCGCGGCGGCCAGCGGGCCAAGGGTCCCTCCTTCCTCCTCCTCCTCCTCCCACCCGGATGGGCAGGTAAGGAAAGGCGAGACGGGACGGGCGCGGCGCCTTCCCTGGCCGGGGCGGCGGGCAGAGAACGAGCCCCGACCCTCGGGAAGCCGGCGGGGATCTGAGGGGGCGAACGCGGACAAGGCTGAGGAGGGGCTTTCTCGGCTTATCTTGGCCCGGCGTTGGGCTTTTAGGAAACGGGGAGGGTGGGGAGCTCCGTGCAAGAAGGCAGAGGGAGACCCCAGGAACAAGACACCTCCCGGGGGGTGGGGGGGTGGACGGACGTTAAAGGCCCCCTCCGGCTTCCTAGGAAGGTGCCCAGAAGAACCTGGGCGGCGCAACCAAGAGTGAAACCGAAGCAGAATCCGAATAGCGCCGAGGGAAGAAAGACACTCGGGAGTGGCCGACCTTTGAGTCTCTCGGTCGATCCGGAATCTGCTTATGGTAGCTGAAGAGTCCCTTACAACAGTTCGTTTAGTGACCAAAGTTACAAGGGTACTGGGGAGGGGGAGGGATTTCTGGCTGCTTTTTTCCCACAGCTGCCACCTTTGCAGCATCCCCAAGGTTAGGTGATCTGGATTCAGATTGGCTTGGCGAGGGTTCCCCATTTATGACCATGTCCCGATTTATGACCGTGTCCCAGGGTCATGCTACACCCCCCCACACACACCTTTTTCTTTGCGACTTTCCAACAGGCCAAGTCCATGGGACAGACTCATTCGCTTAACAACCGGGCTTGCTCACTTTATCAAGCACTTGCAAACGCTTTGCTTAACCACGGTGGCAAGAAAGGTCAGGCGAAACTCAGTTAATGGACGGCTTGCTTAACGACAGAAATGGTGGCCTCAATGGTGGCCATAAGTCAAGGACTGCCTGTAGTTCTATAGCGCATCCTCCCTGACCTAGCCTACTTTGCAAGGGTCACATTGTTCTCCTGATGACCACATAAGCTACACACACACACACACACACACACACACACACGTGTGTGTGATTGGGTGGTGATTTGCCAAGTCTTTTCCTGTCTCTGTAGCCATGCTGTAGTTGGTTCTTCTCTGCTTTCCTTCCACACCTCCACCATCCCTGGGTCAGAAAAGTCAAGATGGCCATCTCAATTGCAATCAATTTTTTATGTGTGGAAACGCATGCAAAACAGAGCCCAGGATCTTCATATATTTTGGAGGATTTGGGGTTTTTATAATTTGAAATTTGAACATATCTGAAGGAGTGAAGTTAAGTTATATGTTTCTCCAGACTGGTCTGCAGTTATTCTTTTTTTAAAAAAAAATAACAATGCAATTTTATTGAAACTGTTTTAAAAACAAGAGTAAGAATCATCTCTAAGAGAGTAAGGAGGAAAAAAACAAAGAAATAAAAGAGACAGGGTAGTGTAAAAAGAAAAGTAAAGAAAAGAAAGAAAGGCGGTAAAGAAGAGGCTTCCAATCTTCTTTACAGCAGTTATAGGAATGATTATAAATTTACCTCTTTCTCTAAAGCAAGGGTCTTCAAACTTGACAGTTTTAAGACTTGTGGACTTCAACTCCCAGAATTCCTGAGCTAACATGACTGGAGGAGAAATTCTGGGAGTTGAAGTCCACAAGTCTTAAAACTGTCAAGTTTGAAGACCTCTAAAGTTACATTGTGACTCTATAATCTAGCTTGCCTAATTGTCAAATCAAAATTATAAATTCATTTTTTCCTGCTTTATGCAAAAAGTCCAACAAAGAGTCCGTAAAGATTTCCAGTCGGCATTAAATGTAGATTTCTGGTTGTAGTTGAACTACTGGCACACTCACAAATCATGATACTGCATAAAAATTGGCTGTACTTAGAAGAATATCAAAATGCAAACTCAGAGTAAAAATTCACATCAAGAAGCTGAATTGGAAAGCCAGCATTTATTAGAGCAAACGTGAGTTTATTCCACATGCACAAGGATTCTTATCTGATCTGAATGTACTTGCAAAAAGAGATTTTATCAGAATTATTACTAAGAGGAATGCACTGTTATTTCAGTTTTTTTCCAATCTGGACTTAGTCACCCCTGAATGACACCAAAGAAGCACATAGGTTATTTTTTATTTTAATGTTTTTCCTGCTTTCACTTTGAAGGACCATCTTGACTGTGTTT